AAATTTCAAGAAAGAAAGGGCGAAAGAATCAGCTAAAAGAAGGGAGCCGACGTTAACGAAGGTAAGTTTGTTTTAAATATTGATTTTATAATGGCTTTAAAACCCGACGGCCTTTGCGTATATGAAACAACTAAGCAAGACAGCATATAATTTCAGTGTATCTTTAATATTGATTCCCTTTTTTATTATATTGAATTTTTTAAATAAAAAATAAAGCAAAGTTATTTGCAAGCGAGAATTTGAAATTATTTTATTGCAAACTCAAAGTTTCATTTAATAGTTAAAGGCAGTTTAGTTTTATAAAGAACACTTTAAAACGTTTTGTGAATTGTTTGTGGTTGAATTTTACCTTAAATTGAAGCTTGTATTACGTATAATTACATACCTAACATATATGTTGGGAAATTGATAATTTTGTAATTAAAAGTGATATTTTTAGGCGATTTTCATTTGTAAGAATATTCTTAAAAAATTATGTGTTACCATGACAACTACTTTAGATACTTCATGTTCGGAAAATACAACGGTTTTGTCAGCAAGGCGAGGGTTTCTGCATGCATGTATTTTCTAGTTTAAATAAAAAAGAAAGCAAAGTAATTTGCATGCGAGAATTTGAAATCATTTTATTCAAACTCAAATTTTATCGATAAAGCCATTTAATTAAAGCATAGGTCTCCCGAAAAGGTTTTTTATTTTTTAATAAAATCCATACAATTTGCTTTAAAATGCAATGCTTTGACATGCAATGCTTCAATGTACAGTAAAACCTCTATAATTTGTATTACATGAAGTACGTGTAACATCACAATAGCGTTGCGTCATTATGTAATATTTTATATGGGGATATATACTACATAATGTTACACGTACTTCGATCATGTAATACAAATTATAGAGGTTTTACTGTACATTGAAGCATTGTATGTCAGAGCATTGCATTTTAAAGCAAATTATATGGATTTTATTAAGATTATTAAAATTGTATGGATTTTGTAAGACCTTTTCGGAAGACCTATGATTAATTAAAGGCAGTTTTATAGTCTCGAGTTTAGTTTTATAAAGAACACTTTAAAACGTTTTGCGAAGCGTTTATATTAAAGTGATATTTTTAGGCGATTTTTCATTTGTAAGAATATTCTTAAAAAAATATCGTGTTACCATGACAATTAACTACTTTAGATACTTCATGTTCGGAAAATACAATGGTTTTGTCAGCAAGGCGAGGGTTTCTGCATGCATGTATCAGGGCCGTAGGAAGCTCTTTTTGTTTGGGGGGCTGAAAGCGAGGGCCGAAGGCCCGAGGAAATTTTTAAATTTAGAGTCTCTGAAATGCCATTTCCTGGACTTTGGGGAAGATTTGACAGAATTCTGATGGTCAGAAAACAGCATTTTAGTATGTCGAAATTTACAATCCAGTAGTACTAAATGGGCGAAGGCGTATTTAATTAACTATATATTGGATAAGTTGCAGGAAAGTATGGGTAATATCTTGATTCTTTGCAGTTTGTCATGGATTAAATGATAAAGGTCTGCATGATTTTGAAAAATGAATGATTATTAGCAAATTATTGGGGGGCTACAGCGAAGTGATAAACCGAAAAACATTCACCGATTTACGATTTGTAAATTGTTATGCGTGTAAATGCCATAATTCGATCAGTTTATACTGACAATACAATTCTATAATATTTTCTCCGTTTAACAACTAAAATTTCGTTATACTATTATTGCCGTAATTTTCCGAATGGCCAACCCGATTTTCCTAATATGTTAATTCTAAAAAAGTTGGGGGGGGGGGCAGGTTAAACAAACCCCAACCCTCCCTCGCTACGGCGCGGAGCGAAAAACAACATGAAAATGAATGCCTATTGCATTTCATTAAAGAAATAAACTACAGATAATTCAAAAAAGGTTGTCCATGGCAAACCTTGAACTCTAGATCTTAAACCTTAAACTCTAAGCGTGCAAAGCATAATGGGAGCATCATTTAATCAGTTACAATCTCGTGCACAGAGCCCGAGTACGTCATCTTCCAAGTATATTGTGGATTCACTCGTGTTCCATTGGTGTTCACTCGTGTTCATTCGTGTTCACTCGTGTTCCATTCGTGTTCACTCGTGTTCCATTCGTGTTCACTCGTGTTCACTCGTGTTCATTCGTGTTCACTCGTGTTCACTTGTGTTCACTCGTGTTCTGACTCGTGTGGAGTTTTAGATCAGATCAAAATGACAGCACGTCCCATGCAATTTAATATAAGGTAAACTTGGTATAGTAAAACACAAGTCATAATGACGATCGCAACAATACAACAATAGCATGCTATTTTCACGAAGTTTTGCAGCCTGACCTCTGCAGCCTGACAATCTTGTATTTCGAATGCTTCCATACTTGTTTACTCAGAGAGATGTTCACTCCACGACAGTCAAAGAGTCATTAAAGCCACGCCTGGAACTAGGCGCTCAAACCCATGATCTCAGTCCCGACTTGTCAAAGTAGAAAATAGTTTCAATTTCTCAGGCAGGTAATAGTCCTAGAATCGGATTAAAATTAATTCAGTCCTATACATGACTGGTATAGGCTATATATCATATATATAATCGCGTTAAGGTCTATGGCGTTGTTTATTGGACTGGATCAAAACTAATTCACTTCACTTTAATCAGTGGCGTGCTGGGTACTAATTTTCGGGGGGGGGGGGGCAGTGGGCTTTCAACTAATATGCGCCCCTATATTGTAACGCTTGATAAACGAGTGTCGAAGGCACGAGCCGAGCGCCGCAGGTGCGAGGTTTCTCTATAGCGGGGTCCGGGGGCATGCCCCCTCGGAAAATTTTTGAATTTAGGGTCTCTGAAATGCCATTTCCTGGACTTTGGGGCCGAAGGTTTGACAGAAATTTGATGGTCAGGAAACGGCATTATAACGTGTTGAAATTTGCAATTTGGTTAGAATTATATATAGTAGTAGAACTTAAATTGGGCAATGCTAACTCAGTTCCAGCGATTAATCTAATCCCAATTCTATTCTCTACTGATCTGGTGATCTGAAAACATTTACAACATACAGCTCTTTTATACAATAACACACGGACCCCACGCATATGCACTTTAAGGTTACCTTGCTTGGCTGCCGAAAGGGCGCTTTTCAGCATTATCTTATCACTTACATTACTCATGAGTCATGATGTTTCTTGCACAAACAACTAAATTGCGTACACAACTTACATTATCATAACTATCTAATTTGCGCCACTCTCGTGATTCCTGAAGCATAATACCTTCATAATATAAGGGCATAATACCAGCAAAAAAGGGCATAATTCCCGTGACGAACGATTTTGTGTGAGCCGTGAAGTAGCAAATGAGCAAATACGGTTAGACCAAATAGTCTGTAATTTAATATATCACTTTGTCGTCTATGCACTTAGTCTCGATCTATTTATAAGCCTATATAAATATATACTTCTTGACGGAAGTAACTATATTTTTTCAAATGCGTTTTTTCCCACCCACTTTCAAAATTCCGCACGGGACGGCGCCCCCTTTTCATTTTCCCCAGCACGCCACTGACTTTAATATATTCTTTAAAGCCAAATTATTATCAGTATAATTGAGATATTATTTCAAAACCTCAAAATCGGCCTGGGCATGATTTGAGTGCCAGTTAGAGTTAGTTGCAGTCCTCGGCTTTGCCTCGTATATTCAAACTACGAAGTACTCGGACATGAAATCCCACTCAGTTTTGAAATTCCATCCATTTTTCGATTTGAAATCCATACGCGTGAGGGACAACTGTCCGGTCAATGCAGGACTCGACCTCCAGTCACCTGGTTAGAGAAGACCAATCGGCACGCCTTTTCATAATATATCATCTAGTGTTTTGTTAGCAACGAATAGAAGGGGCATTAAGATTGACGTTTACCGCATACGTCCAACTACAAATCGTGTTTTGAGTAAAAGTTAGGGTCATTTGTGCATTAAAATTGAAGTATGATTTACCTACTTAGCTTTTGACACGTAATTGATAAATTACACTCTCAAGAAAAAAGAGATTTTAACTCTTTCTTAACAGGGCCCAGTCGCGTCGATCGCGAGCGATCGACGGCTCGAAATTTCATACTTTCGGTTCAGTGCATGCTATGAAGACAGAAATACCACCATTCGATTCAGAAATAAAATATCAACTAGTTCCATGGATGTGAAATTTAGAATCTTTGGCCAAGCGGTGAGTAAATATATGATTGTTTCGCTTTGTGTAATGTTTTGACGGCACTTGACCCCCCGTTCGAAAGGTTATTTTATGAGGATTTCAATGGTGGCATTTATTTAAAAGGGGGGTAAATACTCGCCGAGATATTTATATTAGAAAAATTGAATCGAAATGTAATGCGAAACCGGCCTGTCGTGAAAGAGTTGATTTTAAGACACATTTTCAGACACTGACAATAAGTGGCACTAAACTCAAAACACGATTTGTAGTTTGCCGTTTTCGCAGTGGTGTAGAACTGAAATGATAACGAAGGGGGTCTCTTAAGGAGGAAGGCGGAGGTGGATGTGACAAAGTACGAGGGGGAAAGGTGTGGATATTGCAAACACTAGATCATTGGGTGCAATATGATAAACATGGGAAGATAAACATAGTAATTCTTCAATAAAAATTCCGATACACCGAAGCTATTTTATGTTAATTATCACATCTTGTATGCAAAATCTGAAATAGAATACCACAAAACGTAATACTTTCCCAGAAACATCACTGAACGAAAAAAACAGATGACTTACAGTAGAAAAGTGCCAACATTTATTAAATCATATATTAAATATCTTCAATTATCATTACTTTACCAAAACGTTTCCAATAATAATACTAACAATAATATTAGTAATATAATTATCATAAATATATACTAAATAGATGTGTATATATATATATATATATATATATATATATATATATATATATATATATATATATATATATATATATATATATATTACTTAGTAGTCATATTAATATATATATATATATTACTTATTAGTCATATTAGAACATTTTGCCAATTATAATATAATCCACAGAACTCAATGAACGAGTCACAAAGATTCATCCCTTTCGAACAGAGAATACATTCATGACCAAACACATTGGGTGAAAACTCTACGACTATACCATAAAACGTCCTCCAGATCTCATAAAGTATTATATTTACTTTATAGTTTAATTATCCTTTTTAGGGTTAATATTTTCACAATAATTTTATGATGCGATATATATTCAACGCATGCGCAGCTAATCCTGGCCAGCATGTGTTAGCCCAACAAGATAAGGCGTGCTGTTATGGTACAACTTTCGCTGAAATCCGGTCCTGCAACAGCAACCCCGGGACGGCGGGATTTTCTGCTTGCCCTCAGCCTGCTGAGGAGCAATACAATTTGGACTCGCTTATATTATACATGCAGGTACTTAAACAAATACAGAACTAACTTACAGGTGTAGAATTACGCGCAGACTTCGCATGTAGGCCTACACTTGTATAAAACATGCACAACGTATATGTGCCTGATTAAAATATTGGTTGTTATGGTGGGGTTACGTGATAAAAATATAATTTTAGCAACTATGTTGGCAATGTAATTAAACAAACAGCTTAACAAAAAACTCATCGCTAGAAATCGTGGAATTTGGAATTCAACGTGCATGAACACAAAAACATATAAATTACTAATTAAAACAAAATCTAGTGTTAACCGCATAGTCAAAATGCCAATTTCACAATGGGAAGGACTGCTAAAAATAGAGGGAAAAAATATCATATTCACCTGAGTACACTACACCAACACAGAAAAGAAATTCATATTACTAGAATACATTGGTATCGAAGGAACTAGATTCTGTTCCGAAATATCACTTACTCGAACCGTCCTGACCACGTAGCTCAGTTGGAAGAGCATTGGGCTAGTATTCCAAAGGTCGTAGGTTCGAATCCCACCGTGGCCGGGCATATTTTTCAAGCTCGCCCGGTGTGGATATAGACTCAGAGTAACACCACAAATATCATATTCACCTGAGTACACTACACCAATATATAATCAGCTGAAATATTAGAATGTTAGGGTTTGTAATCCAAATGATTATATACATTTTAAGACCTGACCAGGAACGACTGCGAAAAATGCAGCACAAGGTCCTCTGGTAGGAATTGAACCTACGGGCCGGCTACGGCCCTGCGATTCCGGTGCAGCGCTCTAACCAGCTGAGCTACAGAGGCCAGCTGTTGAGCTGTAACCGTAAGTTCATGTATATGTAGTGAAGATGTATATGTATATGTTCACCAAGTGAAGTGCAAAGAAACCACATCATCAGCTGAAATGCCTCTCATTATCTATTGTTTTTAATGCGTTCGGCACACGAGAAACGCGACGTTTGAAACAGGCCTTGAAGAGTACCCTTTCTCGACAACCGGTTTCGTATTACATTTCGATTCAATTTTTCTAATATAAATATCTCGGCGAGTATTTACCCTCCCCCCCTTTTAAATAAATATAATAATAATAATATATTTATTCCATTACACCATTACTGGTACATAGGATATACTACAATATAACAGATACATATACAAACAATAAAACTATAGCTAATACTTAATTACAAACAGTACAGTTAGAGAAAATCTTGGTTAACTCGTAAATGTATCTGGCTGTACAATTTGTACAGCCTCTTGTCATTCATGGATATACAATAAAGAAACAGGTCGTTTTTACCTAGTGAACTAAAACAACTATTAATTTCCAGTATGTCTTTCAGGAAATTTTCTTTGAGATTTTCTAACTTGTAATTTTTACAATTTAAAAAATAATGGTATTCGTCACCTATATCATTTGAATCACAAATTGGACATAGGCGTAACTTATGGTCAATATTAGCATATCGACCGACTTCAACTGGAAATCTATGTGCAGATATCCTAAACCTTGTAACCGCTTGGCGGTGTTTTACATTTCTGACCGAAGACAAATAACTTTCAACATGCCAACTTGGTTTTACAAGGCTTAAGATTCGTAATTTGTTGCACTGTTAAATCTGATCTTTCCATATATGGTATTATATCTATTACATAATTCATTCTTAATAGCTTTAGCTAAATTACTAATATCACTTTTAGACTGAATTGCATAACTGCTCAAAGGTTCGAAATCACACATATGTAGTAAGAAATCAGAGAATTTCACAATAAAAAGAAGATATAAACGAAACATCCGTAGAAAGAGTTGTAAGTATGTTGGACGTTCAGGAATTGGTTTTAAACGTTCAGGAATTGGTTTTTGCAATTACAATGGTTCAATGGATGAAGTCATAATGGACATAACGGAAAAGATGGCGGCATGTACATTTTACTAGAATTATGAATGCACTGCGGACATCAAGAATAAATGACTAAAAAAAGATGCAAGAAAACATCTAATGACGAGAAATTTTAACACAATGGAGAAAATAATAGATGCGCAAATAATGAAATAATCCTCATGCACCTGTGAGTGCCTATTTTCTACAAAAGGTCTCGTGCAGGTATAATTTGAGTGTAACGAGCATCCCAAGCAGGCGTTGGCTAACAAACTATAAAAATACTAAAAATTCGAATTTTAGGCATTTGCATGAGTATCATTTGCACATATTATTTTATTAAGCTATTGGACGGTATAATTCATTGCTATATGTAGCCTGAATTCATGTTAAAAGCTTTAAACGTATTAAGGCAAAATAATAGATGCCCAAATTATCCTTATGCACTCTTTGAGTGCCTATTTTCTACAAAAGGTCTCGTGCAGGTATAATTTGAGTGTAACGAGCATCCCGAGCAGGCATTGGCTATTAAATAAACATTATTTTAAGGCTTCTTTCCAGTTTAGCGTTTTTCATACGTGCGTGCACGCACGGAAAAATTGAAATTTTTCTAAATTTCATATTAGTAGCTACTAATGACCTCAACAAATACACTTTAAATCATACAGAAAACTACATGCTGTCTTTTTATTTATTTAGTTATTTCATCAGTAAATTAGAAATATTTAACTGACTTTTCCGAGCGTATCAGTACACGCACGTATGAAAAGTAACTTTTAACTGGAAAGCAGCCTTAAGTCAGGTCTGGAGCTTTTTTTACTAAGTTTTCACTATAAGACCAACGACTATTAATGAATGAAGCTTATTGAAGTTGTTTAATAAACTCAAAATGTGTTTTAAGTCTAAATTAAGTATAAAGTGAAGTAATCTTTTAAAACCTGGCGTTTGTCGTGCTAAAAATTTTGAATATGCCCTAATATGGTGATGCGTTCATGTCCATAAACATTTCATGCGAACAGGTGGCGAACATGAGTAGTGTCTTAAAATACTACTATTTATAGAATTGGTTCATTGCACGCTTATACGGGTTATATCTTATACTTCCTTTTTTAAATTTTTTTTATGTTACCTAGCACGCGCTCCAACCTGATTAGCATAATAGCTTATAATGCGATGCACTTGTCAAGACTTGCTCCAATCTCTGTGTATAACTATATTGCACTTAACATGCATGACTGGCGAGAAAACCTAAAAAGAAGACATATCAAGCCATATACGACTCAAAGAAATATATAAAATCTTTGTGCTCCCCATATTACATATATATATATATTACCGAAAGCGAAATATATAAAGCCCCCATGCTCTCCCATATACATATATTATACAAAGCGAAATACATAAAACCTTCGTGCTCTCCAATATATATTACCGAAACCAAAATTTCTCCGATATATATACTATAGGATTCTATCCCATAAAAGATAATTAAACTGTTAAACTGTAATTGTTCAATCGGAAGGCTATCTGATATTTGCACACTCGCATTATACATTCTTCCACTATCTTTTTTAGCATTTTCTTTAAAATGCAAATTCGGTCTTGTATTTTGTAATGTCATTCCTATATATATATTTACCCATCTCAACACAGATGGCAGAGGATCAGGAAACGGAATAGAATTTTTCCCCGCGAGCAACCTTTAATACACTAATTTTCTCCAGGCCATGTTTTCAGATATTCGATTTTTTTCAGACCATACTTGTATATATAACTGATAACATACTATCAATCTTGGCTTGAGAAGTATCCTCATGCACCTAATACATGCATGCATGCATGCATGATCATTGGCATTGCCTGATACTTCTATTTAAACGTCATTCCATCCGAGAACTTAACTATCATACATAACAGAAAAAAGCACAGGACCTAGAACTGTTTCTTGGAAGCACCTCGATTAATCAGTGTTCAGGTATTCAGTTACAATCCCATGCATCATAATCAAATTAACAGCACAATAATTAATGGGCCTTTTAACCTTATATAGCCTTTTAGCCTTATCACATAAAATGTCGTGTGGAACGCTATCAAATGCTTTGCTGAAGTCAAAGGACAATACTCTGATGTATTTAGCATGTCTTTCTAAAGGCTATTTTCCACTCATCGCAAAACCATTATGCTTGTGCATGCATCTAATTGCATCTAATTAAAATAAACTGTCGGCATTGTGATTGGATGAAAGTGCTCGCTCGTAGCGAGTACGTTGGTTTTTGCGATGAGTGGAAAAGAGGGCTTAACTATCCCAATGGGCATGTGTGTTTCCAAGCACACGGAAAACTATTGGCTTTTAATAAACGTGCAGTATGATCTACTGTTGTTTTTCAACATGTTTTTGGCAACATTGAAATAATATAGATCGAAACCGGAATTTCTGAATTGATCGAACAACTGATTTTCTCAGTATTTCTCTATAGGTCTCGGAATATGAATGTCCCTTTAATACACGCATTAAAGCCCCGTATACAGACTTAGCCTGCATAGCCGCTGCCCGCAAATAAACGCCTGCTATATACACAGGTTATAAAGACGCGGCAATTTTTCCTTGACAAGTTATGGTCGTGTGTACGACAAAAATTGACAATTTTTCCTTGGCAAGGAACCTTGTTCCAAAGCTAATCATGCCAGCTTTTGGACAACCTGATTGTGCGGTATACGACCGCCAAAGAAAACGTGACTTGTGCACGAGATATATCTATGGTTTTGGCAAACAAAAGGCGGCCTTGACGTGAGATAAATGTTTAATCCGTACACATGAGAAACCGTGAAAACATGTGAAGTCGGGAAACTTGTTGACCGTATACGAGAAAGTAAACTTGTCAAGGAAACTTGTCAAGAGGAAAACGGCTTGCTCGTCCGCGCAGGGCATCAACTACATACCGACATTAAATTGAGCGCGGGATTCGTATATATAAAAATATATGCAAAATAGACTCCATTGGCATTGGCATTGTCACTTGTAATGTCTGGGTCCTGTCGCTCGTTTTCTGTCTGTTGTTTTTGTTTTCTTGATTCCTACGACTATTACTTCATATTATTAATGTCCGATATTGATCATTATCTAGTCATGCAGTAGTTCGTTTGGAGATGTCAATATACCGGTTGAAAATAACACATCGTGACACCGGCAAAAATAACTGACGCGATAATCATCTTTATCTGATTCAGAAACAGGAAAAAAGTTAATTATCAATATTATACTTGTCTAGCGCAAGTAGCCATTAATTCATTGGGTTGTCTCACAGAAAATTGAGAGAAAATTGTGGAAGAAAGTTTGTCTGAAAAGCTACGTCGTATATCTAACAGCTGGCAGTTCTGCTGCAGTCTGCATTCGCAGCTGCGTAAGAGGCCCCATACCCACAGCCAAGAATACGAATAACTATATAACAAACATAACAAACGTATATAACAAACATATAAGATGGCTTGTTCAACTTCTACTAGTCTTATATATAATACATAAAATGTAATGCCTGATAAACAAATTGTTTCAAATAATACAAATCAGTGACACTTTTCCTTTTAAAAGGTATTCTGTACAGTCTATATCGCACTATATTTGTTTATATTGTATACTCTGATATTACCCGGTGTCGCAGATTCGCGCGAAAATATTAAATTAACCTAATCCCTATTGACTAGTGTCAAGTGTTAAACATAAAAATACGTAAAGACGCGATGTTTGTATAAAATTATAAATTATATACACAATTTCGGTAAGAAATAAAGAAATTTACGACGCTTTCAAAACAAACGCGGATTATAGCATCACAAACGTTTATATAGACAACAAAAACTGTAGTTGATATTGCCACAATATGGATTTAATACACGTATATAGGCCTACATACAAGGGAAACATAC